TTCGTATATTCTTTTCTTTAGATATTGTCCTGTTTGACCTATGTATGTGTTATCACAATTCAAACAGTCTATTTTGTAAATTACATTAGGCGTGTATAACTTGTCAATCATAGGTTTAAATTTTGTGAAACATTCATTTGCTAAGGTGTTTTTAGTTTTTTCTGCTATGTTGATATTATGTGATTTGAACATATTTTTTATTTTTGTGTTAATTTCCGGAATATATGGTAATGACATATACTACTGACTATATACTATTGTATATACATATACTAATTGTATATTTTATTTATCCTTTGCTTTAAGATTGGTTCAAAAAATGATTTTGGATAGTTGTTTATTAATAATATATTTTTTATTTTTTCAAGATTTTTTGTTCTATACTCCCAATGTGATGGCGTTGTTAATGAATTGAACCTTACGATGACGATTCTCCTGGCAAAAGCACATTATTTCGCCGCCCTTGCAACTTTCGTTGTATGTTGATATTTAGGTAATCGGATTTTGCAAAAGCAGTGTTATCCGATCAATGCACAACAGTAAATGAATATTTCTGAAAATTCTTTGGTTGCAAAAAACTGATTGTGCAACGTGTAGTCCGAGCTCTGCCAAACCTCCGGATAATAAAACTGCAATAAGCATGTACACAGTGGGCCATTTTCGTTGGTAATTACCGTTCATTTTGTTGCAGAAATGTTGAAAACGACAATCACCGCATAATGGAGAGGAAGCGGAAGCAAAATTATGAACATGATCGAAACATATACGCAGTGGGATTTGTTTAAAAGTGAAAGTTTACCGTTTCCACAATAAATGCACGAGCTTTGTTGAATTGTCCGCGAAGAGACCTACGCTGATGTGCTTTTTTCCCATTGAAATACTTCGCATTTGTAACACCCACGGTTGGCGAATAAAATACAATTCGAAATCAATGACGTAAGTTTCCAAACGGGAAACGGTGTAGTTGTACAGTAAGCAGTTTCAAATAACGCCTTTCTCGTGCAAGTTTCTAATATAAGTAGGCATACATGCAGTATTTAGTTGCAAGTTAACTTTTACGCCCTCCCTCTGCTCATAGCCATTGGCAAACTATGCAGATATGAGATCCAGCTTACGTTGACTTCGTTAACGGCATTGTAGGTATAGGATATACAGGGCAATCCAAATTAAATTTTACATTGTTCACTTGCAGGTGCAAACTGTCGATTTTAGTAGGTAATTCAGGCCGCAAATGGCAAAATCACCGTCGATTTTGTAACTATTAGATAAGCGTCCAGGTCGGCGGTAGAAGCGGCTTTGCGCCTTTTATTTTGACCATGAATCCAACTTGCATCCGTGTGTAGTGGAAGAAAAAAGACCCACCGACCAAAAGCGGTTTCAAGGTCTCGAAACCAAACCTCTTTGCTTTTTTTTCTTGACTTGGACCCGTATACCGTACCCTTAATGCCCACTTGCACCAAACTTCTTCTAAGCACGTCCTTACCTAAGTATACCTTAAAATTTAAGTCCGACTTAAGTTTCAATGAGTTGTGCACCATCCGTTTTTCACGTGTTCTTAGCTAAGCTTCAGGCAATAACCGGCAACTCTGTATTTTTCGTTCTGTTCTGCATGTCTGTGTTGTTTCTAACCGAAATTCGAGACCTTTTTAAAATTTTGTTTCTACTCATGGCTGTAAAACAGAAAGGGTCTCCTAATTTTGGCGCTTCTGAAAGAGATACTATTTTAGAGCTCGTTGCGTTTCATAAAGATCACCGAAAATAAAAAATATAATAATAACAATAAAAAAAACAGATGCTGTGTCTTCGCAAGAAAAGCAGTAACCATGGTAGAAAATATCGGACCAATTTAATGCTATTTGTTAAAACAATTAATAATTAATTTTTAAACAACAATTCCGCCTATGACCGCAATAGTCAGGAAATTCTACAGTAACCAAAAAGAAGACACCCGGAAGCACATTTCCAATCAGAATAAAAAACTTTATAAAACTGATGGCGGAGGAGTTGTGCCGTGCCTTCGGTTCCCAGGGGCAATGCAGATAAAATATTATTATCCATTGTAAATAATAAGACCTTGTATGGCGTCAATCAATCACTTGCTGCTTTTGGAACATTCAAAATTCATGATGTACGTAGGTACTTATTTTATGAAAACAGGACATTATGATTATACAATTCATATACGTATGCTGTATATTTGACTAACTAGCGACTAAAGTGAGGTTGGAAGAAGGCTAAGTCATGCTTAAGTACTCGAAAACGAGTCCTTAAATTTAAGATTTTCAAAGACGAACTTAAGATTAAGAAGATCGTGTCATCGGTTGGTGCAATCCATTTTTGCAGTTAGGCTCGAACTTAACGCTAAGCATAACCTTAAGTCTTTCTTAAATGTTTGGTGCAAGTGTCCAGTTTAAGTCGTCAAAATTCGTACATTACTATATGATGTTAACAGATGAAAATAATAAAACTACAAAAATAAACATTACACGAGCAAGCATTTATTAGCAGTATTTTTATGTACCCCGCAAAAATTTGGCACTAGGGTATCGATATCTAAAATGTATATTTTTTAATTCTCGTCAACTCGCTTATTTTTGATATACATATGATTTCTTCCAAGATTCTGAACAATTTATATTTATGAAGTTTTATACCTATCTGTAATGGTTTAGTACATATGTTCCTTTTATTATAATGAATGACGGATGCTCTCCTGATCGTTGGTACCGAGACTGTTCAAATAAATAATAATTATATCATGTTTTTGCTAGTATTAAATAATTAACAACCTAAACATTTTATTTTCCGTAAAGAATGGGAAATTTAGTGATTATTAAGTCTAATACTAAGCAATGAAAAAGTGCATTAAATCTATTATTTTCAAGTGCGGTAGGTTAATGGAAAGTGATACTTATTTTTGAAGCTGAACACGGTTTTGTGAAAAAATGATTGATTTCGGTTTATAAAAACGTTGGTTAGTCTAAAATTTCATATGGCAAATTTGACATTTTCTGAGCCATCTGTATAAAAGTAGGACCTGAGTTATTCCTGAGTCTTCATTCTGAGAATATCTTTTTTAAACAGAGTATATTTACGGAACGACGAGTTACAGTATGGAGTGTTTACTAATAACGAACTGTGCGTTAACTTTAATTACATCAATACTTATTGATATATTAGAAAGATGGCAACAATGTTTTTTAACATTACTTAAATACCTGTTGCTTAGTAATTATTAAAAACTCCGATAACCCTGGAATCGAATTTCAATTTTGTTATTAAGCATTATTTTGAAATTGCCCCATGTTTAACTGGTAGCATATTGGAATACTTAAGCATTCAAAAAGAAAAATTACGATCTTTGCTTCAAATTACGAAAAATTTTGATATTAAAAAGTTTTTCTCTTCTACAATTTTTTGATAAAAAGTCAAAGCGGCAATGATGTTTTTTGTCATTAACAGATAGTTACAGGTTGATTGAATTACTTTGAATTTCCTTTCACGAATTTGCGGATATGCTATTAGTTCAGGGGAAATGGTACAGCAACATAGCAGAAGCTGGAAGAACTCACGCCGACAAAAGGCGAGGAGAGTGGTTCCAGGAAGATAGTGGACGACAATTGATGTTCAGGTTCCAGACACAGAGGAACAAGTATTGGACATAATTGTAGCAGAGCCTTCCAGGGGTACTCAGAACATTGCATAACTACTGACATTTTTCCAGGCACCAAATAAATACCGGCTACATTCCTACCACGAATGTAAGATGACATTAAACCAATTAATTACTGAACACCGGTATAAATTGAGCAGGAGGTAATGGCCCGAATACGAGAAGCTGCTCGAGAAGAGTGCATAATAAGGCACTTGTTTGGAGGTACAGCTTGGGGACTCAAATGTATGTTTTTGTAATTTGTAAACAAATTCATAATTCAAGGTTATGAATTTCGAAATAGATTCCATCATTCAACGATTCCTGTTGAATTTACCGTTTATCCTTGCCTATCTTATTGTCACTTTCTCATTTATCCATGGTTACCACAGTTTTAAATAATTAGGAAGCAACAGGTATTTCCGTAATGTTAATTAGGCAGATTACCTTGAAAAAATTGTTGCCGTTTTTCTAATATCGTTTTTTGCAAATTTATCAGTTGTTAATAACAATTAATTTTTTTTACTATTTTTTCTGTAGTCCTAAAACACCTTCAGAGGAATGATGCCAATTTTGAATCGCCCTGTATCTTCTAAAAATTATCGAAAAAAATTTTTCAATATTTTTCACGTACTCTCCAAGTGAGCCCTTATTACCCCTTAAAAGAAATTACGCCAATTTTGAATCATCCTGTATATAAGCTTAAACGGCCGAATCGACTCATTGCTATTCGGTATATGTAAATTTTGACGTTCAGTAAAAAAATCCGTAAAGAGTCCGTTAAACTTTCTAAACAGTAGTAGGTGGCAACATCGAAATCCACCTTAAAGTCTAGTTCTTATATACGAATTTTCCGAAAAAAATTCCGAATAATCGGACGAAAAAGTTGAAACAATTCGGAACTTTTTCCGATTATTCGGAAATTTGGAGGGATTTTATAGGTTGTGTAAATTCAATTTCATTGAATAATCTTTTGTCTTTTTACTCAATGTTCAGTTTTCAAGAATGGATACAGAATATTATAATTTCTATTTACAATATCGATTGAGAGTATCAGTGTGTGGCCATTTATATGCAATTAAAACTGTTGTGTGAAAACAAATCCGGTACATTCAACAAAAAAAAAAAAGAAAACAATGAAAAAACGACAGATACGGATTAGAGAGATTTTCCAACGAAGACCGGAACAAGGAGCTTATGATAACTTGATTCAAGAAATGCGTCTTCAAGATAGAGAAAAACATTTCAATTACATGAGAATCTCGAAAGAATTATTCGAAAATATTTTATTATCAAAAGTTGGACCCCATATTACTAAAAGAAGATCCTACACATGCAGGAGACAGATTAGCATGCACTTTACGTTGTGGTGTGTACACTTTAAGTGTAGATTTTATTCAATTTTTTAAAGCTTCTATGCTTTGGAAATTACTGAAAGCCCTTGGTCCAATTTTAGAAATTGAATAAAAACTACAAACTTGAAAATGCTTTTTCTTCGTTCCTTTAAAATTAAATGTTCTCAATATTTGTATATAATTGCGTAAATTTATAGGTTTTTGACTTCTGGGGATAGTACGGTTTCCTTGTCCTTTGCATTTCGTTTGGGCGAACGTCGAGCGAGGGAACGAAAAAGAGGACTTTTAGGTTAAAATTGCTGTCATTGTCACCAACAGGATAAGTCAAAATTATTGCTTTTTTCAGCAAGAAATAATCGCAAATAAGAACTATTTAATTTCATTCGCTTATTCGGAATGTTTTTTTCCGAAAATTCGCTTATGAGAACTAAGCTTTAGGAGAGACTGTATCTGCATGGGCCGTACGCCAATGGGATGGAGCTCTACAACTCGGCGCCAATTCGACTGGTATAAGGCAGGTATCCTCCGGAGTAGGATAGGGCGCCCATATTTTCGATGCTAATTGGTTTCTGTCCTAATTCCTTCTAACTGATCGAGCGGTATCTTAAGCTTAGGGTGTTATCTTTTGCCAGTGTCAGTCTTGTCATAAACTCCTTACAAGTGTGGGTCTGCGGATTTTTAGGCGTCTATTATCAATTAAGTACAGTATTATGCTGACTTAAATGACTCTCGCAAACTGCAGAATTCTTTACGGAACTCCGTTTATATGGTTTTTTTTACCCGTTCCATATGTAGGTAGGTACACCGCGCAGTTGCTTAGAAGGATATACCTATGTATGTAATATCGGAAGTTGTCCATGTTTTTAAATGGAGCTTCTCAGTGCTCAGTGATGGTCCAGCGTTGGACAGTCTTGAACTTATCGCC